CGGGCGAGAATGCTGTCAATTTGACTTTGAAAATTTGACAGGGTGTTGATTTTCAGTCAGTCTCTGTATCTTTTCAATTTTTTTGAATTTATCTAATATAAATAATATTTATTAAAAATGTTCCCAAAAAAGTTGCTCAAAAAGTACTGTGTCGGAAAGTGATTTCGACTCGTGCGATATCGGCCCTCGCTTCGCTCTGGCCGATAACTTCACATTCGTCGAAATCGTCTCCTTTCCGCCCTTGATACACAATGTAATATTTTTTCGAGAATTTTGAAAGGTCTCACTTTTCCTTTTCTGAAAAAAGAAGCCGTGTAATCGCACCCAGTGAAAGCGTGGAAGCCAGGCAGCGATTGACATAAACGAGTTCCCAATTTTTCAGCAAGAAAACTGCAGTTTACACAAGCGACTTCGCATTGTTTGGAAGTTACGCTTGACAGCCAGATCCTTAATTTGCTCAAATTGGCTAAAATCACAACTAAAACGTCAGTGTCCGATGCTTTTACCAAAACTTTTGAATCAGGTGGTAATTTGCTGATGTGGTACCTATATCATTCGTGTATCCGCCTCTTCGTGAAAACATATGAAATCCTTCTCTTCCATTTTTTTCACCGAGCCGTTGGAAGATTCGTATGAGAAACAACTTTCAGCTACCGTCAAGTAGTTCTTTTTATTTCCAAAAAATGGTGCCAAAAAATTACTCTCCCAGTGTTTCGATAAAAAAAAGAATGACTGATTCCTTAAAATTTTGATTTTTCAAGCTTTCCATAAAGTCATTTGGTCTTTTTTGATGTGAGCCTTTGATGGTAAAGGAAATTTGATTTTCGTATCTTTGATTTCTCTCGCAGTCTTTTATAGATGGGCTGAAGTAACGATCGAAAACCAGGTGAATTTCAGTAGCTTTAGTGTTACAAAGTTTTTTCAAGATGACTTCTGAAATTTTCTCGAAAGTTTGTGGAATGGGCTCTTTCACTAATTTTTGAAATAGGCATATTTGGATAAAGCAACTAAAAACAGAATCTTTTGTATTTTTACTTTTGAAAAATTCATAGTCCTTATTGAGAAAACAGAAAAAAAAGAAATACCTCTAAATAAAAACCCAGAATTTATTTCTATGACGTCGCAGCTCGCAATTTGACCGTGTTGCCACTAATTGTCAAAATTGAAAATTCTGAAATGTTGGCAAAATATCATGAAAAGTAGTTAAATTAATTAGTTATGGATCCAAAATTTTATAATTTTTTTTTTTTAAATTATGCTTAAACACAATTTAATACAATTTTTTATGTTTAGTTTTATTTATTTATTTTACGCTGCACTACCATTCAGTCACAACCGACAACAGCGCATTCGAACCTTTAACGTACTTTACAGAGCGCAACACAGCCGAGCCGGTCAGCTCCTTCCAACAACATAAGCGAAATGAAAAATATTTATGTGACGTCAGCAAATCGGTGCGTTTAAAATAATTTTGAATTTCGCCAATTTCAAGTGCCTGTAAAAAACTTATTCAACCTTGTAGAACATTTTTTTTTTGGTATATATGCCTAAAATAGTCCCTCCTTTGGGATTTTATACTTAAATTACGTATTTAAATTTTAGTGAAAGAGCCCATTATAACAGCTTCTCATAGAGCAATAGTGTACGAGTGAAGAATGAGTGCGAGAGAGAGAGAGAGTGTCGAGTGGTCGTGTATGCGGTCGTCAAGGTATTACGGTACGGATATTAGCGCAAAAGCGGAAAGCGGTAAATATGTATGGCCAGCGGTTATACGTCCCCGAAAGTTTCTAGCGACAAATTCAGAATCACGTGTCTCAGCGGGGTAGAAAGTATAACTGATCTATGTCCGTACGTTCAACCAGGACATCAGAATTGCGGTTATCCTGCTGGACTTGTCTGTACAGCCGAGACTTGTCCTCAGGGCCGGTCCTAGCCCCTCTGCCGCCTTTGTGCAGGCATGAAAAAGCCGCCCAACTACATTTTCTAGTGAATGTTATTTTATTTAAATTTGGGCTGCCCATTGAAAAATCGGCTACGTAGCGTAGGAGGACCAATGATGCAAGAACTCCAGTTCCGGAACACCTCGAACCTGAAAGATATCTTAGACGAAAAGCCAGCCGGAGGCAACATTTTTTTCGGGAGCCACGCTCAAAAACGTTAATTTTAAGCCTAGATGCAAAACGCGAATTGCGGAGAACCGTCTTAATAGTTAGTCCTCTGTGAAGTAAAGCGAATTCGCAACATTTGAAATTTAGGGCAAAATTGCAAGTACAGCTTAATTTTTTGCGATATATCTTGCAAATTTCACGTCATCGCATGCGTATTCCAAAAATTCTTTCGAGGACTAGTTTCTGTGAAATGCCTAGTTTCTGTGAAATGCCTAGTTTCTGTGAAATGCCTTACGTATGAAATTTGATTTTCCCTAAAAAAATTATTTCATAGTTTCTGACTCTGCGGCCTACGGCCGCCCTTTTAGTTTGGCCGCCTTTGTGCCTGCACAACCTGCACTCGCCTAAGAACGGCCCTGCTTGTCCTAATCAGTCTACCCACTACCCAACTCTTTTCGGTACGGGGCACGGTGTTTCGGAGCCAGAACTGAACGGTACAAATGTTAACACCAAATAATGGTATAATGTTAACATTTGTACATCGTGGAAGAGGGGACAGATTACGAGAATGAAGATCGCACATCCTACATCTAAAAGTCACAACAAGAAAGATCATGGATTAGGCCTTCAGTAAAAATACAATGTAAAAAAAAACGCGCCTTGCATCTTACTTCTGGGGTGGTGTGGAAACGGGTGCTACCCTCTGTTTTCCTGGCGTATCAGGTGGAAACCGGTTGGTACGACGTAAAATAGGTGAATAACATTTTTTGAAGAGAATTTCTCAATATTTTTAGCCAAAATAGTCGTAGGAAATACTGAAAGCAAAATATTTAAGACTATTTCACTAGAGTGTATTACACCAGCAATAAATTCGGTATTCACCTGACATAAGGTCTGTTCCCACAAGAGTCTCTGACAGTTTGCAACCTATCAGAAACAATCGTTCAGCTCAGCTACAGATTTATCTTTTAACGACAGCATTGAAAACATGTATGGGCGATGCTCACTGACAGTTTGCAAACTGTCAGAGACTCCTGGGGGAACAGACCTAATAACGCTACCTGGACAATACCAACAACATGGTATTTGAGCGACCATCTTTTGACATTGTCAAACTGGTATTTTTAATTTGAAGTTTTTATTCATAATTTTGCATTCTATTTATTTCAAAATCTTACGTGAAATAGTCATGACGAATACCAGTCGAGAAAAAATTGTGTAGGCAAAATTGTTCTCAAGGTTTTATTCAAGTTTGTTGCTTTTCGGCAATTTCGCTCATGACATTTTTGATAAAATTTGTCAAAAATGTCATTCGCGAAATTGCCAAGCAACAAACTTTCATACATTTCGAAAATTTTGCCGACAAAATTTTTTCTCCTGTGATATTATATATGAAAAACTCATTTCTGTGATATTTGACCTTGAATATCTTGGAACGCAAACAAGATATCGGTGGGGACTTTTAATACATTAATTCTTGAGGTGAAATAAAGGTGTAGACAAAATTTAGGCTCACTCGGATTTTTTCAGTAGATGAATCCTTGTATGACTGTACTATAGGATTTTATGGAAAAATGATCGAATATGGAAATTTTCAGAATAACCTGATACAGCACACTTCAGATTATATAAGAATCCATTTTTGTTGGATCTGATTTCCATAATATTGGGGAGGCTGAGCGTCAAGTTAGCCTCTCATCTTGTTTTTCCTATAACTTTACGACGAGAAAGAGCGCGGCAGAGAAACTCTCGATCTACCATTCCTCAAAAATCAAAACATACTGTGTCATTTCATTAATAATTGTGAGTCAATAATAATTTAAATTAGGTACCGCCCCTGTCCTTGTCCTAAAATTTCAATTCCACACACTACATTCAATCAACACTACCTATATTCAATACTGAAGAGTTTTTGGTTAGTTAGCCAGTCTGCCAGCAGGTACTGAGGTCCCGTACGGAAGGGTACTCAGCTATATAGTTATTTTTTTGAGCCAATATCTCTAGACTGATTTTTCAATTTGTTTGCTAGAGTAGATTCAACAAGGCCGTAATTCACAAGCACAAGAGACAGTACATAATTTTTCTAGGTTTTAATTCACTCTTTATCTGCATTGTTCACAGCATGAAACGATTTTTGTTAAATACATGAACAATGCACATGTTAAAAAAATGTTATAAACAAACAAAAACACATAAAAATGAAAAAATAATACCTGTATAAATTGGACTCTCAGAAACAAAATAACATTTATTCAACTGACCTGTGAATGCTCCTTATGACACAGAAACTAATCACAAATTGAATTGAACAATCAGTTTAATATAAAAAAATAAATATTGAATAATGAACAATGGCTGACAAGCGGTCTAAGGAACAAGTTTCTTCTCTAGTCTCTCATTTTCTATCTACCCTCCGGTACCTACGCTTTTCCTGTGGCGCGCCCCCGTTCCCAAAAACTTCACAGCGCATACATGGTTGCAACATTTACCATTTGCTTTTCTATAGGAAACGTTAAGATTTGAAGAAATAATATTTTAAATAAGTGGTTTTCCTCAGTACTTAATTATTCCCATTTATCAATAGAAATTGGATGTATTTTACGAATATTATTCAATGGGCATTAAAAAAAACACATTTTAATTACACAAAGTTTCCAATTAACCATCGTCTACTAATTTGTAATGCCGTAAAAATTCCATTCGACTTTAAAAATGTCTGGATAAAAAAAAAGATACCTAGACTTTGGTGCTATTCAAAAATTTCAAAAAATCATGTTGCCGGAAACGAACTCATCCACGTTGGGTCTGCATGCAAATTAAAAATTTCCAATGACGACGAGAATTCTTAATATTTAAACGAGCAACGATATAATATATGATCGAAATTAGTTATTGGTCGCAATCTAGAATCTCCATATCAGTGTGAGTCACTAAAAATCGCGAACGGTCAATTTCAGATCAAACTTATAGTCAAGCTAATTTTCATCCAAATTCGATTTTATATTAAACGCTGTAGTGGTGAAAGTTTCAATTAATGGGTTATAATAATCAATTCTTAATTGGCAAGTTAATTCAGTTTCTTGAGAATGATATTAATTTAATTTCATCCTACAATAAACGTGTTGTAGTATGTTGTTGAACAATCTCCAAAAAACGAGGTTATTTATTCCAGCAAACTTCACAATGAGTGACATTCAAAATTTTTACAAAGAAAAAAATGTTTGTCTGACTGGAGGCACGGGATTTTTAGGAAAATTGATAATACAAAAGCTTTTAAGGACCACCAATGTGAAAACAATTTATGTTATCATTAGGCCTAAAAGAGGTTTGAACATTCAAGAACGAATGGAGCGACTTTTAGAGAATGAAGTAAGTAGTGACTAAAATTTCAAATTTATACTGCATCAAATATTTCCTAGATATTTTCTGATGTCAGGTCAAATTTTTCGAAAATCAAAGCCCTTGCTGGAGATTTGTGCAAATCAAATTTAGGTTTATCGAAGGAAGATAAAGAAACTTTGGAAACACGAGTAGGTATATAAAAATGTTCATATTTAAATACTTAAATTAATTATAAAATTTTTCAGGCACACATTGTATTTCATTGCGGTGCCAGTGTAAGTTTTATATCCAACTTGCGAGAAACAATTTTTTCCAATGTGAAATCTACAAGAGAAGTGCTAAAGATTGCCAAAAATTGCCGAAATTTATTGTCATTCGTATACGTGTCAACTGCTTATTCAAATTGCACAGAAAAAATAATCGAAGAAACGTTTTACGATCCTCCAATCAGTCCTGAATTGTTGATTAATATTTGCGAAGAATTGGATGGCGAAATGTTAGAACGAATAACAAAAGGGTAAGGAATTCGTGCAATGAATTTAGATGTTTAATTTGTGTTTTTGTTTAGCCTTGTAGCTCCTTGGCCAAATAATTATACATTTAGCAAGGCAGTTTCCGAAAAACTGATTTACGATGCCAAAGAAAGTTTACCAATTGGATTATTCAGACCTAGCATAAGTAAGAATTTGCATTACAACATTTAAGTAGGAAAGCGGCTTTTTTCCCGATCAATTCTGTTTTTGAACTATGTGAATTCAATTGTTTGAGACGTGAGTCCAGAAGAGGTGACCTTCCGATGAACCAAAAGAAAGATTGCTGGAATTGACCAACAATATTTTGGCCCATCGCTCATCTTATATTGGCCCAGTTCCATGACATCGTAGCGCAATGTTCAAAGTCAAACCAAGGATTGACCAGCTTATCTTTCTGGGCGTTATTCTAAGCTTCGTGACCCGCGGACAACACATTGGGTGATTATTTTCCTTTTCCAGCAGACATTGAATCTGTTTTTTAGCCACGCATACGCAGCTCAAACGAGATTAATTCTTTTTCCCATATTACTTTTCTAATTCTCTCCAAAGTGGCTCAACAAGATTCAGTTCAAGTCTCCTTGGTTGGTTGGTTGTAGGGGGGAGCTTGATCTTCGTTTTTCTCGTCTTTGCCTTCCTTCAGGTTTTAATATACTTTTATCTCTGTAGTATTTCCGCATTTCCCTCTCTTCCTGTTTAAATCCTTTCCCTTGATTTCAGGTGGTTTTACCAGAAATTTTCTGTTCCTCCTTATCTATAGCTCTGCAATTCCATAACGTCCAAAAATTTCTCTCAATTTTTCAATAATGTCTTCACTTTTAGTTTTCTTTGGTGTAATAACTTCTGGATATTTTCAGTATACATCGTTCTAGCAGAAAATTGAACCTAACTCAACATTTAAACTAACTTAACCTAAGAAGTTCGGAATATGCAGACTAACGACAACATTCATACAGCTTCACTTAACTTAAGACTTAACCTAACTTGACCAAAAGTTGGCCAACTTTTACCTTTTCCCTAAATTTCTTAAATTAAATGTAGATTAAGGGCATTGCGCAAACACGAATTTTGACATAGGTCATACGTATCATTGTCAGAATATTTAAATCTTAAATTAATAACTATTTATATAACAAGTACATAAAGTAAGGCTTTATTGTACGAATAATTTTATGGCCGAGGGAGCTTGCGAGCGAGGCTATTAAATAATGAGTCAATAAAGCCTGTTTATGTGTTATATACATGATTCTATGTACGATTCTGACTGGTTTTTGTTAAAAATTGAAAAAATTTAATGAAAAAAGTGAAGTTCGCGTAGGTATACCTGTTTCACCTTGGCAGGTTGTCAGGACCTGTTTCACTTTGGCAGGTTGTCAGGACCTGTTTCACCTTATTAGGTAGTCCAGGTAGGCAATAAAGTAGCACTTTATTTTACTAGTAACATAAAGTAGCACTTTATTTTACTAGTACAATAAAGTGCTACTTTATTGACGCAAAACTGTTCTATAAATAGCACTTTATTGGTCAATCGGACATAAAGTTCTTTATGAACGCCAAAAAATTAATTTAAATTAAGTCTTAAGTGAGGTTAGGTTAAGTTAAGTTAAATTTTTTGTTAGAACCCACCACCAGTCTGGCAATTTTCGAAGTGTCATAGGATCTGTCACCTGATACTGGTTCTTCAAACATTCATGGGAATCGTGTACTTTTTCTATGATATAATTATTAATATTGGGCCACAATATAGTATGTTTTGCTCTAGATGTGCAACTATTTACGCCTTGATGTCCAATATGAATTTGATTTAAGGTTTCTCTGTAGATAGATGAACGAATTATAATCCTGTCTTTGTAATACAACAAACTGCCATAATATGTTATTTCATTACGATACTTGAAATATTTTTGACATGTGTCAGTTACTTGTGATACTTTTTCTGGCCATCCCTGCATTAGATATTCACTCAGTTTTTGAAAGTTCTTCCTGTGCTCATTCAACCATTTGTTGTGTTAACTTCAAGTTATCTGCAATTTCTTTCCTTATAACATTTACATAGCATTCAACTTCTTCTTCCAAAACATCTTTTCCATTATCTATCTGTTTCAGTGGCTGTCTTGATAACGTATCTGGTACATAGAATTTTTTTCCAGCGGCGTTCAATCTCAAATGTAAATCTAGTTAATCTAAGTCTACTTCGTTGCAATCTCACAGTCAAATAATTTATAGATTTCTTCTTCAAGATACTCAAAAGTAGTAAACGATCAGTTTGTATAGTCAATGATTTACCTATTAGGTACTCTTCCAGTCTTTCACATACCCATACAATAGCATATGCTTCCTTTCAATTTGAGCATAGTGTTGCTGTGTTTCACTTAAACTTTTCGAACAATAAATAACAGAAGCCCATCACCCATCTGGTTGTAATTGATCTAAACAGCCACCAATTCCAAAAGAACTCGAGTCTGCGAGAATTCTTGTTTCTTTAGTAACATCAAAAGTCTTCAAAACTAGTGCACTTTTGACATTTTGACTCGTTTAAAGTGAGTCTATTCTATTGTCTCGTAACACTTTAAGCACTTTTTTTGACCTTTCACCATGCTGTCCAACATTTTCCCAAAAACTGTAATGTGTAATGTGTACTAATACTACTATTCATTGTACTCTGACAAATTTCTGGAGCTGAAGTACTTCCAAAAGGAATTCTCTTGTAGATGTACCTTCCAAGAGGTGTTGAAAAGGCAGTGTTAGTGTAGTACTACGAACCTTCTGATCACAATCTAATTTTGAAAATACTTTCGCATTTCTTATTTGTGCCAGTATAAAATTCACTATTGGTAAATAAGTTTTTTTCTTGAAACAAATTTATTGAGTTCAGTGAAGTCAGCACATGTTCTAACTTGATCAGTTGTTTTGTGGACACAAACCATTCACTGAAAAAATTAGTGAAAAATTTGCCTAATAAATATTTATTTGATTTTTTTTAATTTCACCCAAATAATGATTAGTTAAACCAACGACAATGTATTTGGTTTAAATAAATCTGTGTATTTGGTTTTTTCAAATTATTTGTTTGACTTCTTAAAGTGATACGAGTTGTATTATTAAATAAATATGTATTTAGAACGAACACCATAAATCTAATATATTCAGATTTTTTAAACGAAATAACAGCCACTTTAAATTAAATATTCTGGAATTTTTACAAAATAAACATGACCAAAATTCAAATAACTGGGATCTCTGTAGACATTTGGCAATTTACGCGCATGCTCGAGTTCCATATACTGCGCTGTGTGCATCACTGCTCGCTCTTTCCTGTCGTTGGTTTGGCACGCGTCGCATGGTGTTACTTTGAATTTTTATTTTTCGGAGTAGTTTCCGCAAGATGGAAGATCTTTTGGCAGAAGTGGGTGTGCAATATCTGTAGCCTTTAATACACAGTAAGTTGAAATTATAAAACCTACATAATAGGTATAATAATTCACAATATTTCCAAATCATCAATTTCAGCAAGATGGATGTCTCCAGGAACAAAAAAAATACGTCGCCTTGGCCGATATAATTTTTATTGGGGACTTATTTCTACCTGGACCAGACAAACATCATCTCACACTGAGGCAACAAGCAATAGGCAATTCGCAATATTGGACGCAAGTATTTTACATTTATTTAAATTAGAGGTCTCACATTATAGCAATCAGCAATATTTTCCTTTCGACAGATATCGAGTTGCTCTAATGTAAGACCTCGGATTTAATCCAATGTACGATACTTGCCACCACAAAAACTGTGCATCAGACGAACCACCTGCAAAAATTTTTAGAAGTGCCATCGAAGTGAATCAGATTCCAAAAATTGATGATAGAGGAAAAGAGAATAACGATGAACGACTGGATGAGAACGACCCTCCTGTGCAGCTTCACAATAATTTATTGATTTAACTAGAATAAAAACATAATTAGATTGAACAAATCAGGCTTTAAATGGAACAATTTGTTTATTTGGTTCAAAATAGAATTGGTTGAAACAAATACTTGTTTTATTTATAATAAAAAGCAAGTAGCTCACAATAAATATATATTTATTTAATTTAAATATTTTCTATGAGCTAACTAATGCATCATTTATTTACTAGAACTAAATATTTATTTATATTGTAAAAATGGTTGATATTGAGCTAAACTAAGAATAATTTAATTCAAGCAAACGGAATGGAAACGGTCAAATAAATCCAGATTTTTTTTCAAACAAATATTTGTGTGTCCATTATCAACCAAATATTTGTTTAAGGGAACTCCATTTTTCTTTGGACCAAATATTTTTTTTTTTCAGTGTTGGTTCATGGAGTAGGATTATTGTAATCCACCTGCTCAATTATTTCTTGATCTGCCATTTTCTGTAGTTTCCTTTTTGAGTATGGCACACAGTTTTCTGTCACTTTTATCTTGTATTCATAAGTCTTTTAATTTCCCTATTTTGTTGAAAAGTTCTGGGAAAGATTTTGTAATTTTTCTCAAACATAGTTCTTCAGTACTCACAGTTTTCTGGGTATTGATGCTATTAATCAGTTTTAGCAGGTCCAAGTCCTGTATTGGAGGACTGCCAAGTAAATTTTCCTGATTTTTCATGACATATAGCTTAATTTTATTATTTTCACCCTTATAACATTTAATGGATATCCTCCTGGAACCTTCAATTTTACTGTAGAACGTTTCAGTATTGATTTTCCTTTTAGCTTACCGTACGATGTCTAACTCAAAACTCTGACGTCAGCACCTGTATCAATCTTGAAAGATATTTCTTCCTCAAAAAGTTTAAGTGCTATTTTCCATGCAGTATTCGAGCCACTCTGTATTTCTCCGGCTATTTCGCCAACTTCAGAGTCTTTGGATGTGTCGTCAACTTCATTAACATGCTTGAATTTGCTAGTTTGTCTCTCTACGTTTCACACATTTTACTGTAGTGAGTGGTAGTAGCATTTTTGACAGCGTTTCAATGCAGGGCATTCTTTCAACCTATGACTTGATAATTTCTCCAAATTTTCCAGCTTGATGACATTTGAAGCACGGAATTTTTGACCTATTTCCTTAATCTGACGATTTTACCCGAACATTTTTACACCTGACACCATGTTACATGGGATACCTA